GGAGTCACAGCCTCCACGTCTCACAACTTGCATGCCCTATCCTGGGGGTCCTGCCCCACCGATTGAGCAACTTGTATGCCCTACCCTAGGGGTCCTGCCCCACCAATTGATAACCACTGATACAGATGGGTTGACTAGATAAGGAAGCCAGATCTGACTTTGAAGAGGAGGGCTCATGAACATCTCTCATTGCTGCAAACTGAAGCTGACCTGACAGCAAACGACAACAACTGTACGTGTGACCTTACAGACATGAGGGAAAACATCATCTCATGAGTTGAAAAACCCCGAGAAGCCTTCTGGTAGGGGTCATTCACGAGATCATACACACCTATCTTTAATTAATCCTGAATAGCTGGTTATTATCAGCACCTGATCCTGCCCTCAAAGCGCTAAAGCTGCTTAGAGGCACCGCGTCAGGCATAAACAAGCACAAAGGAGTTCAGAGACAGCACCCTCCTCTCTGCTCACCCGAGACAGGAGGAAGAGGCCACTATTTAGGACCATGCAGTTGTAGGATCCCACGGGTGTCAGTGGGGGGATTCCCAAGGAAGCCTGCCCAAAAGGGCCTCTGCAGCCCTGTAGTTGGGGTGATGTGCCTTCAAGTTGTTTCTGACTTACAGCAACCCACAAACGACACCTTAGCTAGCAAGGGAGAAAGCACAACACACCCAGATGGAGGATCTGAACCCAGATCTAGACACTGGTGCCTCATTATGCAACAGTGTGGATTTGCTGCACATTTTCAAACTGAACAAATAACACTACTGATGTGAGTGCTGTGTGCCTTCCAGTCATTAATGACTTATGGTGATCCTAAGGTGATGGGGTTTTCTTGGCCAGATTTGCTCAGAGGAGCTTTGCCACTGAGGAGGCTGAGAGAGTGTGACTTGCCCAGCATCGCCCAGTGGTTTCCATGGCCAAGTTGGAAACAGAATGCTGGTCTCCAGAAAACATTCAGGGTAGCTGTGTTGTCCATATTGCAAATCCAATAATACCCAAAACTAATCAGAGTCTAGTGCATTACCCAAACCACTAGGCCACACTGCTCTGTAGCCCCACATCTGTCTCTTGGGGCATCTGGGACACCGCATCCAATGGAGCCACACCAGTGGAGGAGAGGGCAGGGTGACCAGGTGTCCTCGTTGCAAAGGAGGACTAAACACTGTGAATTGGAGGACACCCCAGAAAATTGGAGGACATGGCCAACTGAAAGATCAAAAACACTCCTAGAAATATAAACCCCTGCTCAAAATGGAGGACCTTTTGAAATTCCTCCTGGAGAGAAGGTCATGAAGGAGGAGGAGGAGGACCAGAGAGAGGGACCCAAACCATTCCCGAAACGCCAAGGCCAAAGAGAGATTAGAGGCCCCCTAACCTTTTAAACCCATTGCTGAGACCCAGCATGGTGTAGTGGTCTGAACATTGGAGGGATGACAACTCTGGGGACCAAGGTTCGAATTCCTGCTCAGCCATCTGGGTGACCTTAGGCAAGTCACACTCTCTCAACTTCCTCAGTGGCAAAGCTCCTCTGAGCAAATTGTGCCAAGAGAACCCCATGATAGGATCACCATAAGTCTGAAATGACTGGAAGGCACACAGCACTCACATTAGTAGCATGATTTGTTCAGTTTGGAAAGGTGCAGCAAATCCACACTGGTGTATCATGAGGCACTAGTGTCTAGATCTGGGTTCAGATCCTCCATCTGGGTGTGTCAGGCTTTCTCCCTTGCTAGCTAAGGGGTCGCCTTAGGGTCGCCATCGGGACCTTATCACACGGGGTCTAAAGCAGACCTAATCCAAAGGGTATCCGTAGCTAATACATATTATTTCTCCGTGTTTACACACGACGTTGCACCAAAACTCGACAGAGCCCAGAGCTAATCCGTAACGAATTGAGATCTTTTGACATTCGGTTTTTCGGGGAAGTACAAGGGAGCTTTCGGAATCATTGCGCAATGGCCGCGCAGGCGAAATTCAGTTCATTTCGGTATAGAACTGAATTTATTCTTATTTCGGTTACTTTTCGCTTCGTGGCCAGCGTGTGATAAGGTCCTCGGAGATGACTTGGAGGCACACAGCAAAGGCATCCCTCTCCTGCCCCTGGACAGCCCCCAAGAGAGGGAGGATGAGGATGAAGATGGGGAGGATGGGGAAGGGGAAGGAGAGGATGGGGATGGGGATGTTGGGGATGTTGGGGATGGGGATGATGGGGATGGTGGGAAGGATGGGGATGGGATGATGGGGATGTTGGGGATGGGGATGATGGGGATGGTGGAGATGGTGGGAAGGATGGGGATGGGATGATGGGGATGATGGGGATGTTGGGGATGATGGGGATGAGTATGGGGCCTTGAGGGCTGATCCTTCAGCTCTGGACACAGCCGGCCCTCTGAGCCCAACATGAGATCAATACACAGAGACCCACTGCGACACACACAAAGAGAGACATAGAGGCATCCATCCCTCCCTGCCTTGCCGCATGGCCTTCCTCCCGCCAGCCTTTCATTCTGGCC